TTGTTTCTGAGACCCGGTTAGTAAGTATAGCCGTCATAGGGCCCCTTCCAGCAAGTCAAAGCCTAATCAATGCACCACCAGGGCCATGGATGTGTGTAGCAAAGAATTTGTGTGTGTGTGTGTGTGTGTGTGTGTGTGTGTTCACCATGGGCTGCCACGCAGGCGCGTGGGCAAGTAGGGGAAGGCCCAGAGTGGCCCAGTCCGGGCAGGGCTGGGGCTTAAACCTTCTGCTCAGGTGCCGCCCACCCCCACCCCCTACCGCCACAGGCCTGATGGTGTTGGCAGTCCTGGTTTCCATGTGGCAGCCCGGAGATGGGGGTGGTCACACAGCATCCCCCGCCCGGCAGGAGCTGCTCGGGGACTGCACGAGGCCCGGTGACAGGTGACAGCCACAACCATTGCTGCTCGAGAACATTTAATCGCTGCCCAATTATCACCCCAGAGGCCTCACCAAACCCGGCACTGTGCCCAGGGCCCCATTCTTCCCCTCCGTAAGGAAGCCAGTCTGCCGCCCCCGCCAGAGCACAGGGCTGCCCCAGCCCTGCTGCTGCGTGGCCCTCCACCCCTGGACAAGCGATGGCATACTGGCCCGCCTTTGGCTCCAGTCTTTCCCAGGGCAGGCGGGCATGGGCAAGCAGGAGCACTGGACCTGTCTCCCAGCTCTTGGCTGCTGCAGCCCCCCAACTTGTGCTCTGGATGAGGCAGCAAGCCAGGGGACCACCACGGGTCTGCCAGCACCAGGACCCCAGGTTACTAGCCCCAGATTCACACCTGGGCAGCTCTGGTGCTTACCTGAAGACAGGACCTCCACTGCCCCCCACCCATGCCAGCCTGCACCCTGGCTCCTCTCCAGCCACACGGGCCAGCCCCTGGGGACAGGGCTCACTCCCTCCACGCTGCAGCCCGTGAACACACACACACACAAACACAGGCATGCACACAGACACACAGACACAGACATACATAGACACAGACATGCACACCGACACACATACACAGACATGCACACAGACACACAGACACACACATAGACACAGATATACACACAGACACACATAGACACAGATATGCACTCCCTCCTACAGTTGCCTCCAGTGACGCTTCTGATTGCTCCAAAGCTGGGCTACTTCCCCCAGGTAGGACCCACCTGCTACCCTTCTGGGGCGTGTTCGAGTCCAGCTGTCCCTGCTGGGCGGTGAGTCACCTCTGCTCAGCCCTGTGCTGACTCAGCCCTGCCCCCTCTCTCCTCTTGCCAGGAGCTCCCAGGCGCCATTTCCAGAGATGTGTTCAATTTGTACTTAGCACCCCTGGGGTCAACTAGCCTCTTTCGGGGGGGCCGACCCAACATTCACACACAGTACACACACGATGCATGTACATGCACATGTGCACACGCAGCTGTACACATGCTTACACACTTGTGTACAGGGGTGAACCTATTGACACATGTGCATATACGTGCACACAGATGCACAGATGCATGAATATACACGTGTTCACACACAGAGAAACTTGCACACATACACATACTCACACTCCAAAATCCAAACTCACTGTCGATGGTGACCACACGCACAGCTGCAATGTTTGCCAGGCATCCCATGGGGGCTGAGGCTCATGCCCTTGCTCTGCACCAGGGCCACCCCCACCCAGGTTGTGTGAACCTGAGGGCAGGCCTGGGAGTGTGCCCAGCGTGGTCTGGTCCCCATCCTGCATGCTGGCTCAGGCTGGGGACTTCCTTCCCTGGCCCAGCGACTTGGCTTGAGGGGCAGAGAACCACAGCCCACCTGCAGCACTCGGACTGTGTGCAGCTCAGGGCTCCTCAGGCGTGCTCCCAGGACTGCACTCTGCTGGGGGAGGGCTGGGGGTGGGGGTGGGGAGGAGATGGATTGCACCTCCCCTGAGGCCCCGGCCCTTCCCTGGCCAGGCCATGGGTGACAGGTGCTGTCCTGGCCACCTTGTGGCCCACATCCTTCCAGGGTGGCCCAGCTTTCGGCTTTCTGCGCTGACCCTGGGCTCTAGCTCCCGGCAGCCTGCCTGCCCTGTTCTTTCCAAAGACTTGGGCGAAGTTTCTGGTTGGGTGGGAAGCTGGGGTGACAGAGTGGGGCGGCGGTAGGCCTTCTTGGTCTCATCTGCTCCCTTACCGGCATCTGCCCGGGGGTGGGGTTGGGGATTCCTGTCCTGCCCTGCTGGGCCCAGCCACCCAGGCGCCCAGCCACCCATCTGCCTGCTCCCAGAGGGGCCATCCTCAGTCACACCTAGAGGCTGGACGAGAAGAGGCAGCAGACCCTGTGTCCTCAGGGCCCACCGCAGGATCAGGCCCCTGGAGCCCCAGAGACAAAGGTCTGAGCCCTGACGGTTGGCCAGCGTCTTGTGAATGGGGACCTTGTTCTGAAATATAGTCTTTGCCGATGCCTGCAGCCAACTGGGGCTTGTTCTGAACACCAACCCAAACCCACAGCCGCCAAGGCTGTTCTAACTCAGTGGCCTGTGGACAGAGCCGAATGGCCCCTGTGGCTTTCCCAGGCCGTCCTCTGTGTTGGAGCCAACAGCCTCCTTTTCCACCTGCAGGGCAGACGGTGAGTTTGAACCATCTGTCTTCTGGTTTTCAACCTAACCCCACAACCACTACACCGAGAGGGGTTCCTGATCCCACAATAGGAGGACAGACAGACACACGAGGGACGGAACATGACGCATCCACAGGCTAAGGGAGGGCTGAGGGACCTCCCCTGGATCACTCTGAGGCGGCAGGCCCCCAATACCCTGGCCCCCGACTCCCAGCCTCTGTACCCATGAGGCCCCCACCGGTCCTCCCTGCAGTGCTGAGACATGGGCACTGTCTGCCCAGGAGTTCCGGCTAGTCTCCTTCGCTGTCCCAGCCCATGGGGCCAGCTGCCTGTTCACCTGCAGCCCGCCTCAGTTCACCTGAGACCCGGACCCAGGCTCCATCCCAGGGGCCCCTCCCTCTGTGCCTCTTCTCCCCTGATGACTCCTCTGGTGTCAGCTCAGAGCTGGGGCCACATGTCCCCAGCTGTTCGGCCACTATTGAGCCGGACTGGTCACAGCAGCCGGAAGTCCTGCAGGCCCTCCTCCCCTCTCGAGCAGGCAGATGTTCACTCTCTGGCTGCTTTGCAGGAGGGCTTAGACAGCTGCCTCGACACTCCGCATCTGTGAAACGGGGTGAGTGCTAGCAGTGGGGGGTCCAAGGGTTGCAGCTGGGTCTTGCTCAACTCCTATGCGTGCCTCCTGGTCAGTGTCCTATCCGGGGACCTGCTCTCGGCCTCCTGAGGCCATGTCGCACTGAGGACAGGGCCATTGTCCATGCAATCAGGAGGTAAGTGGCAGGGAGGGGGTGTGAGACATCTGTGGTGAGAACTCCCATCTGAGCCCCCTGCTGTCCACACTGCCTGTCCACACCATCCACTCAGGCTCTGCCCCACACCTCCATCCCCTGATGGGACAGGAGACCTAGAGACACAGAGGCTGTGGCACAGGGGCTGGGCACTGCCATGGAGCTGAGCTGTCGGGGGGAGGTGGGATCCTCAGAGACACAGAGGCTGTGGGACAGGGGCTGGGCACTGCCATGTGAGCTGAGCTGGGGGGAGGGGGGATCCTCAGAGACACAGAGGC